TAAAATAGAGAAATATTTGTATCTGGGATGCTCAATTAACAATTACCTAAATCACAATATAGAAACAAAGCAAATGCTTGAGAGAACTAGAACAATTTTTATAAGGTTGAAGAAAATGTGTAACAAACAGGTCAGCATATCTCTGAGATTCAGGACACTAAAGTGTTATACATGTCCCACCCTCTTTCATGGATGTGATATTTGGATTAATAAGAAGGAAACACTCAAAAGAATAAAGGATTCTCAAATATGGGAATAGAGATTAACCTTCCATATCCCATGCACAAATAGAATATAGAACAAAAAGCCACTTCATCAACTAGGAAAACAAAAAGAACCAGAGTTGATTATTAATAAGTGAAAGCGTTGATGTCTTACGTGCATAATTCATCATGACTAAAAAAAATCCCACAATACATAACTGAAGATGGAGGGTAAACATGGAAGAGGTAGAAGGTAGATGTTCTTGGCTTGGTCTTAACAAAAAACAAATAATCCACACAGCAAGAGATGGGTACAGATATGCCACAATAGTAGCCAACCTGAGCAACTGAGATGGAACCCAGAGAGAGAAGGTATGATTTATTAAAATGTCCTGACAGTCAAAGCTTTTCGAATGTGATTATAAGAAGAATGAAACACAGGGAACTCCCAACAGCATTCTTTAAGGAAAACAAAGTAGCACCAGGTGGTGCATATAGAATTTTCATAGCTCTTTTGGGCCAATTCTGAACACAAATATATTTGAGGGTTTACATATGAAGCTGCTAAGAAACAAAACTGGCTTCTTTGCTGACATAAAGGATTTTCTTTGGTTTTCATCACAAGAAACTATAACATAACCTTTGTTGTTTTCTCTAAGTTCTATAAAAACTGTTCTCAACATTTGGTCAATAAATGAATATTTGCAGAACACCTAAAATAAATGAATATTTTATTTGCACAACACATCAAATGCATAAGAAAAGAGGCAAAAATGCCTCTCAGATGCTTTTCAGGTCACCTCTGATATCACAGACATCAGAAACCGATTCTGCTTATTATCAGAAATATCAAAGCACATTTGGTTTCTAGTAACGCTAAGAAAGAGCATCTGTATTAAAATGCACTGCTTCATGCCAAGGAAGTTAGCACCTTCACAGAGCAGAAATGTAGTTTCTCTCTTTCTCTCTGCCAATATATTTTAACAGATGTGTGGTTTCATTTAATACTGAAAAGGAGCAAATCAATACAGTGAACAAAAGCAGCAGGAGATGTTCAGAATTCATTCACCTTCAAGTCTCACATCCTTACTTGCCTACAGTGAAAACAGAGCACTTTTACAGTTTATGAGTGCAATGTCCATGTTTTCTTCAAGATAATCCAGATTTTCAGGCACATAATTCTGCATTCCCTGTAATTTTAATGTGACTTTGAAACTGATAATTACAATCTCATTTCCATTGCTTGTTGATCCTACTTGCATATAATATACTGATTCCTCAATAAACAAACTTCAAATAAGTATGCCTTTAAGTGCAGGAAATGATGAAGATGATAGGAAACTATTTTTGTTAGGCTATTGACTTCCCAAAGTCAAGGAAGATTGGCTGTGGCATCATAGATGTCAATTTTTAATGGGGAGTGTCAGTCTAGATTTTGGAATACAGTAGCAAGGAAAATCTGGAAATTTTGAAAAGAAAAGATGGTTGTTACCTACAGATAATATATGAGGTCTGTGGGAGGAAGTGAAGTTGGCCCCAGAAACACCAGTCTATATATGAAGAGGCAACTAGGAAAGCAAGAGAAAGGGGGATCACATCCCAACTGCCTGTCTCTGTCTCTGCTGCTCCTAGTGGCACAGTTATTTGTGCATGTGTAGTTGCACATGGGTTTGCCTTCATAGTTTGAGTCAATACACTACATTTTGGCAGTAGAGCAGGTAGGAACATTGAAGCAATTTCAGATTCAAGTCAATTTTAATCCCTAACCATGAAAAGAAAAACACAACTTAATGTTAAGAGATAAGAAGTATACAATGTGCTATCAAGGCAGAAATCCAATTAAACAAATCTTAATAAAATTTCTGAAAGGAGCAGGTAACTCTTAAAATGAAGCTCAACTATATTTTGCCAATGACAGGACAAAAGCAGACATTGCTTAACCCTTTTATTTCCACTGAGAAATTGTAAGAGACAGGTGTAAACACTTTATCTCTGGTGATCACAACTTTTTAACATCTGATTTAAAAAAACCTGTCCCCCTAATGATTCTATAACCACAGTTACAACAGCTGAAGTTATACAGAATATCCCCTATCAAAAACACTAGATGGCATTAATTTTTTTTGTCACTGCAGAATCACACTAGATAATTTTCAAAGCAGTATTGATACTTCTGTGTATTACAGCAAGTAGAAAGAAATGAATATTCAATATTTTAGAATATTGTTCAAATGATTAATTTTCAATGACTATGGCAAAGCATTTATTTCAGGCATTTCTAAAATCCCATTTTGCAACAGCTACTTTAGGATCAGCAAAATAATACACAGTAAAAAAAAAACAAAGAACAAAACAATATACTGTATTTTTCCATGTATAAGAATACCTTTGTCTAAAATCTTTAGACTAAAAATTGAGGGTCGTCTTATACACAGAAATAAGCTGACGAGAGAACAAAAACATGTTGAGGGGAAAGCAGGGATCAAAGCAATCCTACAGCGCTTTGATCCCTTTCCCCCTCCATCTGTAAGCCCCACTTAGATTTCTTAATTTTGGGTTAGAAAAGGGGGTGCCTTATACATGGGGGTGTCTTATACATGGCCTAAAAGGGAACCATAAGGCTTGATCAGCTGGGATACATTGTTTTATGGAATGGATTTTTGGGAGCTTATTATTGGACACCTTTAACAATTAGAGAAATGATTAAATTCCTTCCATATGTGCAACACACCAGGTTTAGCCATCATAACAGAGAAACATAAAACAAGCAGAATGAATTTTTCAGAGCTAATTAACAGGAACAATCTTATGCACAAATATGGTTCTGAGGTATTTCAGCTGCCAGGCAGAGAAAGACCCTGATTCTGGCCTCTGATTTTACTCTGAATCTGACTGGCTTTCCATCAAATTCCATCAAATCATCAAATTCCATCAAATCATCTTAGTTTTAAGACTATCAACTCCTGTACACACCTCATTTAGAATGACATGGGGCACTGCTGCTATTGCAGCTTCCTCAGCCCATCAAATTTATACCCATTGTGGCCACTGTTGCCATTGACATCACTTCTCCCAGCTTCTCCACCACCAAAAACCTTCTTGTTCAGCTTTCAGGGCACATTTTGCACTAGACACATCTTGGTCTCTATTTTCTTTAATATGGGTGAAGAAGCTGGACACTCTGCGAGCCACTCTGAAATGGCTCTCTGTGACCTCAATCCAAATGCTACTCTCAGTCAGAGCAGACCACTGAATTAATGGTGTTTATGTAAGTGTTGATCTACAGATGATTCAACTGATCTGTTACATTTGGTCACAGCTATTGAATTTCGGGCCTGGTGTCACCTACTGGCCACTGGTGTTGCTGCTATTTATGTAGATATATGACAGGAGCTGGGAAATCTTTAAGCACAAAACTGAGTGTACTGATGTGGCGGGGGGAGGGATGAACTGTAATGAAAAAGAATTCCATACTAAGGGTGAAATGGAATTAAAAGGAGAATGAAGGTGCATCTGTTTTCCTCCCAGTTATTTCAAGCCAGGCCTGTATCCCAAGGACTCCACCTCATCCTCATCTTCAGTCCCTGAGCTCTCACCACCCCAAGGCTCAGGCTCCTGGAATTTGCAGGACCAGGCAACTCCTCCACCCTATCAGGCTTTGGAGTGCCAAGTTTGTTGGGCTCATTCCCACTGGGGGATTCCTCAGCTCTGGCCATGACATTGTCCCTCTAAAGTTGCCTCCTTAAGTTCAATTGCTCTACTTTCTTTGTTTAGTTTCTAATTAATCCAGGTCATACCAGCCAACCACCAAGCCATCGGAATCTAACACTACCTCTAAGATTGCTCTCAACAGTAACTGAGACTGAGGAAAAAAAGGCTGAGAGAAAAACTGCTCAACTCAGGCATCAGTCTATAACTCAATAATTTTGGTTCTGACGCTCCCTCCCTCACATTGGAGCTGGACCAAAACGTTCTCGGTCTGTCATCTGTCGCATCGGGGTACTCCTCACTGCACACACTGTCCCACAACACGGATGCCTCGCCCAATCCCCCTCTGGAGGTGGGACATTGTATGTAGGGCCAGGCCAGATCACTTTCTTCCCTCCACCTTGGTTTCGGGGGGAAACCACAACCGTCCATTCCAGGGGCTTGGCGACCCTCTCTCTACTCCAGGGGATAGATGGGTCAGGGAGCAATCCTCCAGCCATCTTGAGGTTTGGGAAATCTCTCAACAAGTCACCAACCTTATTCGCTTGTTCTTCTATCTTGTCTGTCTGTATCGAGCTATCCCTTCTGCTCCCATCTTTCTTGCCCTGTTCAATTCTAAATTCCCGTTATTCTCCCACACCTTTTATAACCTCCTCCCATAGTATCAAATCTTGTACCTCCCCTTTTCTCCCTCCTTCTCTTCTGCCAAGCATATCTCTATGGTTTTCTCCCCCTTAAGTTCATCCTCCTCCATTTTTGTGATTTCCCCCTCTACACACTTAGATGTCCACTCTTTTTTGTCATCAGCTGAGGATGGCACACTAGCCATCTGTCCTTCGCACACCCCTACTTTCAAATCTCATAGACAGAATGCATTCATCTCTGCATCTGTATATCTTGGGGTGGGGATAGCGATGGAATACAGCTTCAGGTTTTACAACTATCAGTCCACCAGTCGGAATGGGAATAAAAAATAAAAACACAGAGTTTGTTAAAACAGCACTCCTTCATTTCTAAAAAAATAAAAAATAAAAAGTAAAATAAAGTTCTAAATTCTTTACCACTGAGCCATTACACGCAGTATAGTACCTGTTATTGAACAGTAAACAATGTGAGGAGCAATCTTGTTGATGTCTTCATAACCCAGGCCCATAGCAGTCAGTTTCCCTGGGACATAGTTTTCCACAAACACATCACAGAGAGCTGCAAGCTGAAACAAAACGTGAAGATAAATCTGTCAATGGATATACAAAAATTCAACAACTCACCCACTTAATTTAATCTGACATTTCAGTAAACTGTATGAATTGAAAAATGTCAGTAAATAAGAAAGTTCTGGCACTGCTACAACACATAGGTCATAAACCCAACGAGCCTAGCTTCATTATCTTTACAGTCCCAAATAAATGTGTCTTAATACCATAGAGTCAAATTACACAACAGATACGATGTTTGACTTTGAGACAGAGTCTCAAGTGATTCTAAGACACATGCTATCACTATTGTATGATTGTGGCAAACCACACACTGTAACGATTTCAGAATCAGGTGAAGAGGAAGCAAAAACATATGTTTTACATGCTCTTCCAATTAATTTAACTAATGTTATGTGTAGGAGTGCTGCCAATGTCACAGCTAGCATTTTAAGTTGATATATATTACTTTACATTATCATTCAATGAGAATTTAGGAACAAAGGTTATAGAAGGTCAATCTTCAAATCACTTATCAAAGAAATGATCAAAGAAATATAAAGTGTGCTGCTTATATACCGCCCCACAGTGCTTCAAGCACTCTCTGGGCAGTTTACAAGTTAATTATGCAGGCCACACTTTGCCCCCCCCCCCCAGCAAGCTGGGTACTCATTTTACCAACCTTGGAAGGATAGAAGGCTGAGTCAACCTTGAGCTGCTACCTGGGATTGAACCCCAGGTCATAAACACAGTTTTGGCTGCAGTACAGCGGTTTAACCACTGCGGGCCTTACATCCAAATACAATAAGCATATAATGGATGGTGCTGCAAACTTCAGTGAAATAGACAGAATAACGAACCTACATGCTACCAATAATTGCCATGGAAAATTTTCAGATTTTACCTGCAGTATAAAGTTCTCCTGACATCAAGATATTTCACTTAGTTATCATAATGTCCCATGCTTCCACCTGCTTCCCCCATGCAAATACAGCCTCAAGGAAATAGCTCTTCAATTTACCCACAACATCCTGAGGTATTATAGTAGGAAGAAGCAGAAAACTTTCAAATACACGTTACACAGCGGTATGCTGAATACAGTTCACATGCAATTATATTATAATGATATGAATGAACTAAAAAGCTCTATTTCATAAAATGCTTCTTCACATGTATTAATTCAAGACAAATACTTCTGCTTACTTTGCTTTCTCTTCCTCAATTCCAATGAAGATATACAGCTATACTGGCAGGATAAGGACTGGCAAAAGGGTTTCAACAAAACAAATGAAAACAAAAACAAAAAAGACAACATTGTGGCACCTCAAAGACTAACTGGGATATTTTAATGTCAGCTTTCGCAAAATTTAGCAAATGGAGCTGTTCTTAAGTGGAATTGTTCTTAAGTAGGGACGTTCTTAAGTAGAGACCCCACTGTATTTCATAAAATGCTTCTTCATATGTATTAATTCAAGACAAATACTTCTGCTTACTTTGCTTTCTCTTCCTCAATTCCAATGAAGATATACAGCTATACTGGCAGGATAAGGACTGGCAAAAGGGTTTCAACAAAACAAATGAAAACAAAAACAAAAAAGGCAACATTGTTGGACCCGTGTTTGCTCACACTGTCCACTTCTTCATTACTTACATTTAAAAACAGCAATTAGTTTTTAAGGTACCACAATGTGTTTTTTTTGCATTTGTTTTGTTTTGTGTTTCTTGCTGAAATACTTGCACAGACTAATACAGCTACAACTCTAAATACTCAAAGGATATAGTTTTCGAAGACGTAGCCATGTTAGTCTATGCTAGCATATCAGGCCAAAACAAAAAAATAAATAAATGCTGTGGCATCTTAAAGACTAATTGCTACTGTGAACTTTGGCAGACAAGAGGAAGTGGACATGTCCACAAAAGTTCTTGTTAAAATATCATTAAGTCATTAAGGTGCCACAAGATTTATTTGTTTGTTTGTTTGTTTGATTGTTTGTTTGTTTGATTGATTGATTCCCATTCACTGGCACTGGGCCTGTTAGAGTTCCCCCAACTGTGCTTCTTTTGGCACTCTAAATAGCTGCACTAACCATGCAATCTGTTTCCAGTTTTCATGGGTCTTGAAGGAGAAATCCCTTGGGGGGGGAATGCTCACCCTACATCACTATGCCACCCTACCACTCCATTTCCCAGTTTCTTAATAGTAAAGCCATCTCTTCTCTTTCCCAACTCCTGAACATATCCTACCTTTTCTCTACACATAATGTGAACATACTAAAGTCAAATTCTATGAAGAAATGACCTGTTTTACACTAGCTTAACTTTGGCCACGAAAGATATAGATTACAACAGGAAGTGCTTAATATGGCCAGAAAATACTTTAATGATTTTAAATATTTTTGAAAGACCATCACATGCAAGGGCAGAATGCAGATAGTTTGCAAACAATCTATATTATATGGAACTTCCCTAGAACATTCCCCTAAGCCATTCTCCAGTAGGGCTTCTTGTCCCAGCTTGCTCCAGCAATCTTCTTATATGCCTTTCACTCTCCCTCTCTTTATAGTTTTTCTTGCTCTGGCCTTGGTCTCACCCAAAATGGTGACTTGTGGTAGCTGCCTTCTCCTACGTCTCTCAGTTTTCTCAGGAGGAATCATTAGCCTCTCCCATTCCTCAGTCCAGAGCCATACATTCCCAGCCTTCAGGCAACAACCTCTTCTCCTGTTTCTCCTTTTGCCTCCCTTTTATTCCTCTTTGCCTCTCATTCTCCCTTTCCTCTCCTCTTGGTCTCACTCTTTTTCAAACTGTCCCACTCTAGTTGCTCTCTTTTGATGCATTCTCCCTTTCCTCTCCTTTTGGTCATTCTTCTCACTCTTTTTCAAAATGTCCCACTCTAGTTGCTCTCTTTTGATGCCAGGCTTTTAGTTCTGTCATATCCTGTTATGGACATTTCCCCCACCCCACATCCACAGTAGAACGGCTGGCTTCGAACTCCCCTTCGTCCTCCACGAGAGAAGATGTTGTGCTGTCAGTAGGAAAACTGCTTTCTTCCCTGCTCTCATAGAGGTCACCTTGAGGAAAAGATCTTCCTTGCAGGAAGATCAGTGGGCCAAATACTGCAGCTAAGTGCCTTTCCCAGTTGGCCAATTGCCTATAGCTCAACTGTGGACAGGCTCCAGGAGTTCAGCTACTGTACATACACCTTAGTCTGAGACTTGAGGTTTTGCTAGAGACATCTCTTCTTGCTACCGACTTTGCCTGCCATGCATACTGACCACACACAGATGACCCCTTGCTGTGTACAACTATCTAACTGCCTTGCCTCACTTTGCTGATGCAATTGGACTGTCATGACTCTGGACTGCTCTTGGATTTTGCCTTTGATCCTCCAGTAGGAGTTTATCTGCTACTTTAAATTATCTTGACCCCAGTTCTGGACTTCCCTGGCCATGCTCATTCCAGCCTCAGTCTGCCAAGACACTGCCTTTGAGACCAACCAATCTGGGAGCAGGATAGGTGCCTAATTAGAAGCCAATGGTTTTCCATTTCTTGGAATGAACTCCGATGTAAAGATTTGACCATTCAGGTATTTATTATACTCAGTAACACTGTTCTCAAATGGATTATTCCATCTATATCTGTACTGAAGGACAACCCACATTACCCTTTGATACTGGGAGAAAGTGTTTGCTCACTGGAGTTTCTTTGGCTGTCCCACAGATCTCAGCCTAACTGGCAATCAAGATGAAGCAACAGAGAACTATTACTACATAAGATGGGTTTGGAGCCTCTTTAAGCATTTCAATCCACATGGAAGGAAGTTTCTCAAAAATAGAGGAAACAGTAGACAAACAATAGAAAGGTGACTGTTTCTGTGGCTTTGACCAATTTTTCTCTAGCTGGTGCATTTCATGAGTGTTTTGTAATTCCTGCCAGACTGCAAGAAAATGCAGCCACTCCTCACATTTCCTTTCTTTCATTCTTCATAAGTCTTTAAAATCCAAGGGATACTATTCTGGAGGGAAAAGCTTTCAATATAACCATAAACAAAAGTATGTCCCCTTAATCCTACTGAGAAAACTAAATCTACCATATGTATTTTTATTTATTTATTTATTCAATTATTAGATTTCTATTCCGCCCTTTTAGACAAAGTCTACTTCGGGTAGGTTCCATCAAACATTGCAATCTAAACCAGTCAAAAACAATTCAAAACAATTCAAAACAATAGTAATTAGTAATGCTTAGTAGTGCTCAAGATGGGAAAACAGAAAATTATAATAAAAAGAAAGTAAGTATTGACAGGAGGGAAGGCCTGCCAAAAGAGCCAAGTTTTTAATGGGCTCTTAAAAACACCCAGCGAGGGAACCAGGTGGATCACTGATGGGAGGTTATTCCAGAGCCGAGGGGCCACTGCCAAGAAGGCCCGGATTCTTGTTCTTTCTCTCCGGGCCTCTCTCGGCGTTAGGCCCCTCAACCGTCTCTCCTGGCTATGGCGAATGATTCGGTTAGATCTAGGTGGGAGAAGGTGGAATGAGGTATTAATCTTACTGTTTTATGACTATATCTATAGAAAATGAAAATGAAATGGGGAAAACAATGAAATGCAAGAAAGATATCAGCACGCTGGAACATGCCCAGAGAAGGCTATTGTAGAAAGGTTTGGACTAAATGATTCTTAGTGTCTTGAGAAAACTAAAAATTGTGGTCTGTACCAATTCTACAGTTCTTACTCAAGTTTGTGAGGGCCGAAGTTTGTGAGGGCCGAAGTTTGAGTTTGTGAGGGCCGAAGTTCCTTAGGCAAGGCAGTTTCATTGTCAAGGGGAGATTTGAACCCAGATCTTCCCAATTTTAATCCAGCACTCCAACAAGTACATTGTGCTTCCTGTGGATTTACATGCAGTATGTCACAGAAGTGAGTACACCCCCTCACATTTCATAAATATTTTAGTATATCTTTCATGTGACAACACTGAAGAAATGATACTTGGCTACAATGTAAAGCAGTGAGTACACAGCTTGCATAACAATGTAAATGTGCTGTCCCTTTAAAATAACGCAAACACAGCCATTAATGTCTAAACCACTGGCAACAAAAATGAGTACACTTTGAGAAAAGATGGCATAGATCACAGTAGCTGAAGAGCAAGTGAAGGTGCCTTTGATATTGTGTGTGACATTGCTACGTCCTGTAATCATGTAGCCAGAATAGATGTATGGGTAGAGTTGGCATCTTAGTCTGTGGCAGAGTTTAGTCTCCCTGTCTGTGTTTCTGTTTTGTGGTCCATTATGTGTTAGTATTTGCTTGCAGTTGGGGGGGGGGGTTGTCTGCAGGTCTTCCACCAAGGGCTTTGGAGAGTGAAGTATTCTTGTCAAGGAATTTTAGCACATTTTATCCCTCTTTTGCAATAAAAATATCAAAACAACATACCCAGTCATGACACCCAACACACGCTGCCTGTTTGGTGCCTGGGCCATTGTCTGCTTAAAGGTAAGGTCACTGATAAACTTACATAAGACATAAGACATAAGAAATGTATTTGTCATTGCACTCACAAGTGGGTGCAACGAAATGAGGTACTCTTCCCCAAGGTAAAACTGGACAACACCACTACAAAAAAGTTAAAATATACACAACACTCACCATACAAATATAGATACTCCGTTTCTCCCAGCAATTAAAATTCCACCAAAAACTTATGACCCTGCATTTAAACTCAATACTGCACTTGGGTAGAAGCTGTTCTTGAATCTGCTTGTCCTTGCTTTCAATCCCCTGAATCTCCTTCTCGATGGTAATAGTTTAAAGAGCTGATGTCCCGGATGAGAGCAGTCTTTCAGTATGTTAGATATCTTCCTCTTACATCTGTTCTGATACAATTCTTCCAAAGAGGGGAGTGAACAGCCAATGATGTTTTGGGCCGTCGTAATCACCCTTTGAATTGCCTTTTTCTCTGCCACTGTGCAGCTCGTGAACCATACACAAACACAGTAGGATAATATGCTCTCAATCGAACTCCGATAAAAGGTGGTTAACAAACTCTCAGTCAATTGTTGTTTTCTAAGAATCCTTAGAAAATACAACCTTGTTGCGCCTTCCTGATTAACGCAGCGGTGTTTGCACTCCAAGTCAGGTCATTTGTTATGATGGTCCCAAGAAACTTACATTCAACCACCTGTTCCACACAAACTCCATCTATATACAGTGGCTGAATGTCTGCTCTTTTTTTTCTATAGTCCACTATAAATTCCTTGATTTTTTGGATGTTAAATAGAAGATTGTTTTTTTTTTGCACCAACGGGATAGCTGTAATACCTCATCCCGATACGCAGACTCATCATCCCCAGAAATAAGTCCTACTAGTGTAGTGTCGTCAGCAAATTTGATAATCCTATTACTGGGATGGTTATTGGTGCAATCCAATGAATAAATGGAGAACAGTAGTGGACTGAGGACACAACCTTGTGGAGTGCCAGTGCTGAGTATCTTGTCAGTAGAGATGTAGTCATTCAGTTTAACCCTATGTGGACGATTTGTTAAAAAATCCAAAATCCACAGCCAGCTAGAATCTGGAAAATCTAGATCTTTCAGTTTGACTATTAATCTGTGGGGTATAATGGTATTAAAAGCAGAGCTAAAGTCCGCAACCAGCATTCTTACATAATTCCCTTGTGTTTCCAGGTGGGATAAAACCATATAAAGCACTGTATTAATCGCATCCTCAGTTGATCTATTTTCTTTATAAGCAAACTGAAGCCCATCAAAGGAATCAGGAAGGCAGGAGATAATATATTTCCGAACTAACTGCTCAAAGCACTTCATTAAGATTGAAGTTAGTGCCACCAGCCTATAGTCATTTGGACTGTTTGTAGGCAACTTTTTAGGCAGTGGAACGATGATGGAAGCCTTGAGACAGACAGGAACTGCACATAGTTTAATTCCCTTTTCAAAGCTCTTTAAGCAAGTGGTCATCCCCACATCTTTTTGTAGTCAATTCCATGATTAGCAGCTTCATAAAGAAGTACTGTATGTTTATTTTGTCTATTCTGAATCAACTGCTAACCAGCTTCACTAACAGAAAAACTCCTCACTACCATACATAACTTAACAAAGCTTTAAAAACTGTATTCCCCCAGCATTAATCACCTTTCCCTGCTAAATAGCACAAAACAATAGTGTTCACACCCTAAAACAACTCTTTTGGAATGAAGAGACCTACTCTAAACAATACTCCAGTCATGGAGGCTTCCCTACAATGGATGAAGTAGACAGGAAAACATTACTGGGGAATCCTGCAATTTATAACATGAAAATAATTTCCTCTGAAATAGCCCATCATCTACAAACAAAATTTATCAGTCAGATATTTTTATTTAAACCATACCTGTTTAATGATCTTTGCTCCTTTAGGATTCTTCATGTTAACAGCTATACTCTAATAATGGAGAGAAAATGCAATGCTTTTAATAATAATATAACAACTTTCTACTCAGTTATTGTTGCTATAAAATCCACTCTTCTACTTTTCTAAAAAAAACACCAGCCAGTTGCAACACGTGATTTCTGCTTCTGCCTATGCTGCATGCATATAAAATAGGGACAATACATGTAGAATAGGTATTGCGCTTTTAAAATGGTCAGCAGTAGCATTTTTTTTTACCTTTTTATTTCTGTTTACACTGAGAAAATAAGCACTTTCTGTTCCAACAAAAGGTGGTCCCCAGGATCTGGTATCATCTCCTACTCCTGTAAATGATAATGCAACGTGTAAATTACTTCTAGTCATGCCCTGCATAGTAGCTCAAACTCTAACAAGTGTACACCATGAACTACAGTCACTCCAAGTTTATGTTCCAGTATTTTCATCAGCATTCTTAATTCATTAATGGGGACAAATATGGTTAAACAAAATAAGAGTTCCTTCTTTTCAATGCACTTAACCAGAGAGAACTTTGAGATGAGGTGTGAATGTACTGGTGTACGTTGTTATGCAGAAGTGGGCACCCATAAAGCTACGCTCACTCCATTTTCAACATAGCCACATAAATTCCCAAAGACTGCACCTAGTTTTCCCCCCAAAACTAGATATTGTTTCCAGTGTTTTATATTTGCTCTCTGGGGCCAATTTAAGTTGTAGGAGAGGAAAGTATTAGCAAATAAATGGAAATTTGTAGGCATGATTCTCCATTTTAGCCTTTATGTCTGGGTTTGGGAAGTGGACATAAATTGCACTTGGGCCGCAACATAGCACACATGCTGCACAATTCGTGTGTCAGACATTAGTGGGTATATAGTAAGACTTACTGCCAGGGCAGAATCCAGCAGTTCCAGATGCACCACAGTAAATCCAGTCAAATTACACTAATTCTTCTGTCCTGTTAGCATCATGCTGGATCTTGGTCACAGCCTCTTTATCCATTCTCCTTGGCATGAAGGTCATCCACTTCTTCACAAGCAAATTTCACTAGTTGCTTAGAACAACTTTCCCTCAGCCAGATGCCTCTAGTTATGTTGAACTATAACTCCCAGAGTCCGCCAGCCAGCTATAGGGACTCTGGAACTTGCAATCCAAATATCTGAGCGGCACCAGGTTGGGAAGGGCTGGCTAATACCATTCACGTTGGCAGTGGTGGAGGATAGCAGCCAGACTGACTCAAATGTGCCGTAGAAGGATAGAAGCCCCATTTTTGCCTCTTCTAAAGTTTGCTATGACCCAGTTTTGAAGTACTACAGCTATATGGTTAGAACCAATGAAGACTTAAAAAAAAATCTCAGGATGAATTGTCTTAGGTGAAACAAATGTGGCTTTTTGGTTGCTTGCCTATTACGTTACAAACATTTAGCAAGCTGTATTACACTGCAAAACAGTACTCTGCCATATAATGTATTTAGTACTAGTGACTAGTTAAATTAAGGATAGATCCTCCACCATCCTTCAGTAAAAGCCCTTTGTTACAATGCTTCCACTCCCTCTGCACAAGCCATCTGCAGCATTCACAGATGCCGATGTAAGGACTGATCAAAAAAGAGAAAAGGCTTGTGGTTAGTGTAGAAAGGAGTAGGAATAAAGGGCTGATATATGCATGAGGGTGAAACAATGTTGTTTTTTAAAAAAATCACAACTCCAAACTCTTTGCTCATTTATAAATTTAGCACAGAGCAAGAGCAGACTTTCTGCTACATCTGTGCCAAATTTGGGGCTGCTCCAAGGTCCAGTTTCATAATTATGATTTTTTGTTTGGGACATTTTTTAAAAACTTGCCTCACAGAATATTGAATACTGCTAATACACAATATATTGGTACCCTATCGGGGGCCAATAATACTGGCATCCAAGAAGTGCAGGTGGGGGCAGGGCCATGCCAGGGCTGAACAGAAAACACATGGTCCAAGCCCTACTCAAACTCAACCATACCACTGACTGCCAGATTTTATGAAAAAATATTATCATAGATCATTCAAGACCCCCCCGAAGGGTCTCTAACCCCCCTAACATGTGAGTCCTTCATCTCTAATCCTAGAATTGTGAAGGTTAGAGTGCAGCATTCAGAACACAAGGCATTCTCTTTATCTCCTCATATATACAATGGTTTAATATTGAAAGCATGTTCAAAAGCTTAGGGTGGATGCAAATTAATCTAATGAAGGTGTGGTATAATGAGGACAAGACATAGGGCTGTGGGTTCCACAATATCCCTACCCAACACTATTGCCCCTATGTTTGAAAAATGTGAGCTTATGTGCAACTTAAGTGATTGAGATAGTTGAGACAAATGTAGTCTTCCTCACCACCCTATTCCTGCTCCTTCAGTATTGTAGATAGCTAATTTTAAAGTTGTCATCTACAACAGCAAAGAACTTATTTTAAATGACAAACTGGATGGTCCTCTCTGGTCAATAGAAAGAAAGGCAAATGAGAGAATAAAGATTAAACCTATGCTGGGTGGGGCTGCACTACCCTTGAAAATTGACAGATATCAGCAAGTGAAAATGCTTATCTAAAATACTTATCTCTATTACTAAGGCAGTGGTTCTCAATCTTTGGTCTTCTAAATGTTCTGGAATTTCGGCACCAGCAGCTTAGGCAGTTCCCTGCCAGAGATTTAGAGGGGTGAAATGTAAAACATTTCAGGTGCAAAGGTTGAGAACCAGTGTCATAAGACTTCACCAGTTGACTTCTACAAATGAAACGAACTAGGTTAAGTTACCTTTTCCCCTTTTTCCTTACTAGAAAGGCTTGTTCAACATGCAGAATTCATTTTCTGCCAAATCAGGTACAACAGCTAATATTTAATACCTGCCCTACAATTTATTATTGTCATAAACATATATATCTACTCTGGTGTGTTCAACAAATGGAACTAATCTATGCATTCAGAAATGATGAAGGCATCCTTGGAGTGTACCATGTTAAAATACAAAGAATTCATACACACACCTTAAATCTCTCCATGCAAAACAAACTTCCTCTCCGATATGCTGTACCTTCAGGGACTACAGGCATTTGACCAGGGGAAGCATTCAAACAAACAAATTCCCCAAGTTTATCTCTAGTGATAACATTCCAGAGGCCCATTATCATCCTATCAAGATGTAAAATTTTGTGTGTATAGACTGTTAAAATACTTTAATTGCAGTTTTATTATTCCACTCTTAGGTACCATATTAATTTTATTAGAGCATTTTAAAGTTTTGTTAGAGTAGTTACATTTTCCATTTAGTTCAATACATTTTTATAGTTATGTTTCTTGAACCTTGTACTAAGTGTTTATAGTTAGGTTTTTTGGATATTCAATAGGTAATTCAATATATAAAACCAATATAACACATTTATATTTGCTTGCATGTTCCTATTCAATAAAAAGAAGAAAAATAGAGATTTTCTTGGACACTGAGTTTATCTGTCTTGCATGGAGCGAAAGAACTGAAGGATATTCAGAAGGAGGGAGTAAATTGTACAAGGTGCAAAATATTCCTTTAGGTCATATAGGATTTAACCCTTTGGAATAAATGTTAGCTGTGACTAACACAGACCTCTGATTTTTCCTTGGCGGCCTATTAAGTTCTGTAAGGCTCTTAGGGAGAGGATCACGCATAAAACTCCCTGACCTGACACCTGAACATATCTGTAGATGAAACCACATATCTGTGATTGAAAATAAACATATATACAAACATATTATTTTTCTCTCACACTCACTATCTAGTATCAACACAGAAGGGACACACAGAATTCTTTGGAAAAGAACTCTCTGCTACAATGGATATATAGAATATGTATGAGATAAGTGCCCACAGTGGCCAGTTAGACATCTGGAGTGCTGATAAGTAACACATGAGCAATTAACATGCCTGAACAAGAGGCTTCACTAAAGACAGATGTAACAACTAAAAACAGGTGGTGCACTTGCTTTCCTAAGGTCACTAGAGTGTTTAAACAATATTGTCTTGCCTGGGAACCAGAACAAGGAAACAGAGCAGAGAAAACAATACTGGTAAAATATAACACAAATTAAGATCTGTCAGCTCCTAAGACCTAACAATAGCAGCAGCATCTTTTATCAGCCATCCCACCAGTTCACTTATATCTTTCCACACGCAAACTTTGTAATTAATTTACAGTCACCTTAGTCAGATTAGTAAACCAGTGCCAATAGGAAGGATCTTAAACAGTGCCTCAAAGCATCAACTGTTTAGGCATACAATGCAGGATACTTCTTAAAAGATGGAATGTATATGCATGTATAACATTACACCTCTAATGACACAGAGAAAACCAACAATATTCACGCAAGTTTTGATTTAAAACAATTAAGAATACTTAAAGTAACTAAAATCAGTCAAGTTTGGAAAAGTTACTTTTGACTTTTTTTGTTTAGTTGTTATGTCATGTCCGACTTTTCGTGACTCCATGGACCAGAGCACACCAGGCCCTCCTGTCTTCCACTGCCTCCCAGAGTTTGCTCAAATTCATGTTGGTAGCTTCGATGACACTGTCCAGCCATCTCATCCTCTGTTGTCCCCCTGTCCTCTTGCCTTCACACTTTCCTAACATCAGGGTCTTTTCCAGGGGGTCTTCTCTTCTCATCAGATGGCCAAAGTACTGGAGCCTCAGCTTCAGGATCTGTCCTTCCAGTGAGCACTCAGGTTTGATTTCCTTTAGAATGGATAGGTTTGTTCTCCTTGCAGTCCAGGGGAATCTCAAGAGCCTCCTCCAGCACCACAATTCAAAAGCATCAATTGTTCGGCAGTCAGATTTCTTTATGGTCCAGCTGGCCACTGCTGAGTTTACCAAACTTACTGGCATATTGAGTGTAGCACATTAACAGCATCATATTTTAAGATTTTAAATAGTTCAACAGGAATGCCATCACCTCCACTGGTTTTGTTGTTAGCCATGCTTTCTAAGGCCCACTTGACTTCACTCTCCAGGATGTCTGCCTCAAGGTCAGCAACCACACTATCTGGGTTGTCTGGGACATCCAGATCTTTCTGGTATAATTCCTCTGTGTATTCTTGCCACCTGTCCTTGATGCCTTCTGCTTCTGTAAGGTGCATGCCATTTTTGTCCTTTATCATGTCCAATGTTCCTTTAATATTTCCAAGTTTCTTGAACAGCTCACTGGTTTTTCCGTTTCTATTATTTTCCTCTATATCTTTGCACTGTTCATTTAAGAAAACCCTCTTCTCTCTCCTTGCTATTCTTTAGAAATATGCATTCAATTTTCTGTAGCTTTCCCTAGATCCCTTGTTTCCCTTCTCTACTATTTGTAAAGCCTCGTTGGAGAGCCACTTTGCTTTCTTGCATTTCCATTTCTTTGGGATGGTTTTTGTTGCTGCCTCCTGTACAATGTTATGAACCCCTATCCAAAGTTCTTCAGGCACTCTGTCCACCAAATCTAGTTCCTTAAATCAGTTCTTCACTTCCACTGTGTATTCATAAGGGATTTGGTTTAGATTATACCTGTCTAGCCCAGTGGTTTTTCCTACTCTCTTCAGTTTAAGCTTGAATTTTGCTATAAGAAGCTGATGATCAGAGTCACAATCAGCTCCAAGTCTTGTTTTTGCTGACTATATAGAGCTTCTCCATCTTTGGCTGCAGAGAATATAATCAATCTGATTTCGGTATTGCCCATCTGGTGATGTCCATGTCTAGAGTCGCCTCTTGTTGGAAAAGAATGTTTGAGATGACCAGCTTGTTCTCTTGACAAAACTCTATTAGCCTTTGCCCTGCTTCGTTTTGAACTCCAAGGCCAAACTTACCTGTTATTTACTTTTGACTACAGGTCCCCAAGTCTGGCCACATTTTCTGGAGGATTTTGGAAGTTGTCATCAAAAAAGCAATATTTCCAAGCCCTACAAATCAGATGTGTGAAATATGTTGATCTCTCTGCTGGACTGTGATCATTAAATGTGTGTCTTATCTCTGAGATTAACATGGCAATGCCAAAAAGACTCTGCAGAGAAGAAAAATAATGTATATAAGTTTACCTGGTTTTTCAACTTTGATTACTTCAGCTCCAAGGTCTCCCAGATTCATGGTGGCAAATGGACCTGCAAGTACCCTGTAATATTGAAAACTATTACTTTTGTGTCAGTATTACCACCTCCATACTAGGCAACTTTAAAAACAGTATCCAACTACTTTCAGGGAAAGCACAAACCTGGTTAGATCAAGAATTTTTACACCATCTAATGGCTTCACAATACTGGCACCTGGGCATAAGCAAAGAAAATGTTATTAAGCCTTTTAGAACATACATCTTCTGTTACAGACATTCAAGCAAAGTTTTCTCTATATGTAGAAAAGCAAAGAGGGAAAATATATCAGTTATCAATGTTGACAAGCATAAAACTAAATCCAGTTGTTAGTCCAAAATGGAGTAGACCTATGGAATTAACTGCTGAATTGTAAGTCAACGTCTATGTAATTATCATTGATTCAGTGCATCTATTCTAGTTGGGACAGCCAGTCAGATTCAGGTCCTGGACATTACAACAGAAATATTTCTTCTTTCCTATTGAGTCAGATTTTTTAAAAAAATACAATTCTGCCACCCTTTGGAAAGATGTTTTGTTCCAACATACTCACATTAACTCATTGTCATGCTCTAATCAGCATGAATGCTTAAAACCCCACCAAATTATGAGGGAAGACAAAAACGGTTGTTGTGGGTTTTTCGGGCTCTTTGGCCGTGTTCTGAAGGTTGTTCTTCCTAACGTTTCGCCAGTCTCTGTGGCCGGCATCTTCAGAGGACAGCACTCTGTGCTCTGGTCAACAGAGCACAGAAAGAGCCGAAAAACCCACAACAACCATTAGATCCCAGCCGTGAAAGCCTCCGCGAGCTGCCAGTATGCCAATGTTCTCTCGAAAATACCTGGAAGAGGCAAAGGAGAAACAAGTGACATCTTTAACTAAAATAAAAGGTTTTTAGTTATTACAGCCAATGGCAAAAGGGAACAGAGGTCCCACAACTTTAAGAGCAGCTGTACAATAAGAAAACCCAACAGATGTACAGTGGGGTCTCTACTTAAGAACGTCTCTACTTAAGAACAGTCCAACTTAAGAACAGCTCCATTTGCTAAATTTTGCTTCTACTTGAGAACAGAAATCCAAGATAAGAACAGGAAAAAAAAACCTTTCCTGCTTTTTTTTTAGCCTTAGGTCATCTTAGGTTAAATAAAATTTATCCCCCTAGTGGTAGAGTACGTATTAACCAGCTTTGCATTAGTTCCTATGGGAACTAATGCTTCAATGTACGAACGCACCTCTACATAACCAAAAAACAGCCAGAACGGATTAATTGGTTTTCAATCCATTCCTATGGGAAATTTTGCTTCAACTTAAGAACGTTTCAACTTAAGAACACCATTCCAAAACGGATTAAGTTCTTAAGTAGAGGTTCCACTGTAGTTTCTATGGGCGGAAAAGAGCAGATACGGATTAAATGGTTTTCAATGCATTCCTATGGGAAATGCAGATTCAACATAAGAACTTTTCAACTTGAGAACCACCTTCCAATACGGATTAAGTTCTTAAGTAGAGACCCCACTGTAGCAGCTCCTTCTGCACAACTCTTAACCAATGTCAATTAATGAAGGAAGGAAATGAAGGAGCCTTGTCCTCTTTCACATCTGCCCACCAAATTTTAGTATTAGAATTTTCATTTATTAACTGACATTGGTTGAGTAACATAGTTGCAATTCTGTACACACTCACCTGGGAGCAAGACCAGTTGTGCCTACTGAGCCCAACAGTGCCTATTTCTGAACAGGATTATTTATGAATGCCAGTTGATGGTTGAACAGAAACAATAGCCTGAATACCAAGCCAAAATTCTCTTATGTAATGTTACACCCATACAAGCTGATTACATCATCAGCCATGGATTTTATTGTTCATTAAAAATTTACTATTCCACCCCTTCCCCCAAGTTCTGATGTTCCCTCAGAATCCCTTTTGATCTGGGGAAAACTTTGGGAAGCCTCAAGACAGGAGGAGCCTCTAAAGCACACCAACAGTGGCAGGACCAGCAGTGGTGATTTGTTTGCACTGAAGTCTAGCCCCCACCTGTCCCAAGGCTCCCAAAGCTTTCACCAGGTCAAAAGGGAGCCTCTGGGAGATGGAATAAGAAACTTTTAATGAGTGATAAAACTCTTGGCTGATACCCTCATCAGCTTGCGCAGGTGTAACTTTGCACAAGAGGATTCTGGCCAATGCCTTTCTGCCTTATTCTGCTCAGAAATGGTACAATGTGTTTCCGTCTATTGCTATTGTCAATTGCAACTAAGATTATTCTGCACACCTGTATGCAGTACTATCCTTACATTTCACACTCCATGCCCATGTATATAGGGAGTGGTGAAGAAGTGGTCCTACAAACATTGTTGAAATACAGATTTAGGGACAGCTTTCCAAAGTTTCAGGAATGTTTCCTTCATAGAGATAATCCCTGGTGATCTTCCATTCATGTACTAACCAGGCCCAATCTTCCTCATAAAATTCAAAATACAACAAGATCAGGTATATGAAGATTGGAAGAACTGCATCTCTCTATATGAACTATAAAAGCTGTCCTGCGTTTTAAGATCAAAAAAGGGTCTTCCTCTCAATACTGCTACTCTCACAGATATGCATGAAGAGACAGGAAGAGAGAGTCTTCTTAATGGCTGTTCCCAGGCTGTGGAACTCTTTTCCACAGGAGGCCAGGCCAACCCCACCCCCTCTGCCTCCTCAGCTGTCCTTTTACCAGCAGGCAAATACTTTTCTTTTCAGGAAGTCTTTGAAAAAATAGCTAGCTGTCAGAGAAGGGGTTTAAATGGAAAATTTTGTCCTGTTTACCTTTTTAATGTGCTTTTGAATGGTTTTAAATTGTTTTCTATCCAATAGTTTTAACACATTGTGTGTTTAATTGCTTTGCAACACTGTAATTTATTGCACTTTCAATTGCCTTAAAATTTGACTTTTAAATATTATGCAAATTGTCCTTGGTCCCTGTTTTAAGAGAAAGTCAGGGTATAAATAAAATTAATGAAAAATGAATGAATTTGAGTTTGCCCAGTGGCAGCTGAAGGATCAAACCTCCCTTCCACCCACCTAGCCATATAACTGCCATTTGAAGATAACACTTTCTATACTGAATCCATGAAAATGCATACTATATTTACTAGTCTTTGAGGTACTTCATTTTGCGGAAACAGCTACCTCTCTGAAGCCTGTCAGTTGATAGTAACATATCACCTCAAGACATGTGGTATCTTTTTTCTTTCTTTCTTGTTTAACATTTATTTAATACTTGCTCCAAGCAGCGTTGAATGGCGCTGGTGATTTAGACCTTTCCATTTCTTCCGGTTCTGAAACAGCAACAAAGTGCTATTGTGGACGACTTATGACAGAGGCCACATACAGTGGTGCCCCGCATAGCGACATTAATCTGTTGCAGGAAAAACTCCGTTTAATGCATTCCTATGGGGACAAAACTCACAGCTAAGCGGGAATCCTCAATCCAGTCGCCATTTTCGCCACCTCGGTAAGCGAGGAATCGGCGCAAAAACACTGCAGCCGGCCATTTTCTTCTTCCGGTGGCAATTTTGGAACCGCCGATCAGCCAGCACGAAAACTCTGCGGGCGGCCATTTTCTTCTTCTGGCAGCCATTTTGGAACCACCAATCAGCTGTTCCAAAACATCGCAATGCGAAGATCGGTAAGCGAACTGCTTACCGATCATCGCAATGTGATGTTTAACCTATTCAGAACATCGCAATGCGATCGCATTAGCGATCGCAAAAAACGCGTCGCTATGCGGATTCATTGTTAAACGGTGCGCTCGTTAAGTGAGGCACCACTGTATATGTGTGTGTTTGTGTGTATAATGACTATCATGTTACAAGTAATACATACAAGGCTTAACATAGTAATCTATCATCTTACTTATTATGTAATTTAACTGTTGACCACCGGCTATTCATTCCCACATTTCATAATGTCACATTTACACCATTCCCCATTTCATCTTAAAGAAATATCGACCAACAGTCTAAATGCTTCCAATTGTTTTCTGAGCCACATGTTTCCACATTTATTTTATTGGCATATTTTAATAAAGGCTTCCAGCTTTTGGTGAATTGACTATGCCTTATTTCTAATAATAATAATAAAGGCCTTTATTAAGACATGTGATATCATTAAGAATTAACCACCATTCGCAAACCCATGTTTCAGTTACTATTAGGTGAAAAAACTGCAAGATGTCCTCCTGGCTTTCTTTTTTAACTGAAGTTAACCCTGCCCCACCTCCAATTATCTGAACAGAAACAGTCAGTAACTAATGGAGAAAGAAGTGGCATAACAATAGATATGCAAGAAAATCATGGATTAGTAGCATCAACAACCAGAGAGGAAACAAGTCAAAATAACATCAACAACCTAAGGGTGTATGAGAGAGAGAGAAGAATGGAGAATCCACAGAATCAACTGGCTACAGCTGTGGTTCTCACTTCTCTTTGGGGGAAAGTGTTGACAATTAGTTTTTAGAGCCAATCTGCTGCTTTCTAGACAAGCTGAACTTTAACTGTCAATGTTGCCAACTAATGGCTCATGCTGACTAGACTCATTTGTTAGCAACACAAGTTGGGGAAGTCTGGTCTGCCCAGATCCAGTGAAAGATCTACTATGAAATTCATGATACTTAAAACTTCATGGCCTCTAATCTTGGAGGGCCCCCAAAAACTACTTTAAACTACATTTTAAAAATGTGGCGACCTGTTGTGGAACAACGCCGTTGAAGAAGATAACAGTGGTTACTCAACCTCATGGCTGGTTGTGAAGAGGCTCCCACCACAGTTCAAGCTTGGCCCCAGAAATGAAGGTCTGCTACTGCCCAGATGGATAAAAAGAATGGACAGTATATTCCCTACAATTATGTTGCTTTGCTTCTTGCAATGAAACTGCCTCAAAGATAACATGTATCAGGTATGCTTGATGACTACATGAAGAGGGTCTTCTCTGTTGCTGCTCCCAGACTCTGGAACTCCCTCCCACAGGAGCCCAGGTTGGCCCCATCTTTGCTGTCCTTCCACAAGCAGGTGAAGACGTTTCTCTTCAGGCAAAGTCTTCCCCCAATGACTGGCTTCCTTAGTAGAGTTTTAACTTGATTGTTGTACCTTACTGCTCATCAGTGAAGGTACTTTGGGCATTTTGGGCAACAAGCTAAACTTACGAAGCAGGCTAACGCGGGCTGGCGCTACCCCCCGCCAAAGGCTCTCCGGAGCACAGGGACCCGAAGGTGCACGTGTGCGCGGGCTTGGCAGGCGCTTTGCGGAACCAAGAAGGTCAAAAGTGGCTACCTGGAGCGGGGCAGCTTCCCTCGCTCAGCCCCCTGGCGGCACCGGGGCAGCAGGGAAGGCGCCCAGGCGGGGGGCAGCACAGGGCACTCCGGGGGCAGCCGACGCCAGCGGACCAAGCGGGGCACCCGCTCTGTCGGAGACGGTACGCGTGGCAGCTCCTTCTAGCCAGCTCGACCCTCAGCATCGCGGCCACCGTCAGCAACCCACCGCCGAAGCCGAGACCAGCAAGCACGCCGGGCAGCAAAAGAGCACAAGCACCGGCCCGATCTTTCGGACTCTCGGTACAAAGTCCCAGCGCTCTACTCTGCGCAGGCGCGCTCGGCTCGTTTCTGTTTCTACTGCTGCCCCCGATTTCGGGGTGCCGGGCAAGAGTGCGCACGCGCCGCCGGCGCCGCCTAGTGAGAAAGTTGCGAGGTGTCCCCCTCTTGTTACCATTTTCTGAGGGCCGGGGTGGCGCGTGGGGGGGGGTCTTTATCGTCGACTCCGGATGCCACGAAGGCCTTCAAAGCGACAGAAACCTGCAAGGACGGCGTTACCCCATCGCGACGACACTGAAGCTGCGCTCCCGCCACCCCCTGCGTCTGGTTCCCAGCTATGGTTCAGAAAATAATTACAAAGAAAGGATTATTGGGCCAAGCGCAAGCTGGGGTGGAAACCCACGCACTCCAAAAGCTGTGGGTGCAGCTGGCATTTAAACTCGCCTTCAGTAGCAGACCTGGCACAATGGTCTGCCATGAATTTTTGGGACTCATATTTGGGCTTTTTCTGAACATTCCACAAAATCCTGGTGCAGAACCAGCGGAAAGTGGATTACCTTCAAAAGCTAGCTGTTTGCTTTATTTTGGGTTTTTGTTTTTTTTTTTAATTAAAGGTATCATCTGGTTTAGCATTTCCTGCTATGGGTTTCCATTCTTCTGGCTGTTTGCATCTCCTTGAGGTGCATTCTTTTTTTAAAAAAAGTGGGTACTGACCACTTGCAATCCGTGTAGATCAGGAGACCTCCAAGCGTTTTGATGATTCACCCACACAATGATGTAGTGGTAAATTTGGAAGGCAGAGATGCTTATCAGGACACTTTCTGTATCCAACCACCACAAATAATGAGAATCCATGAAAGCAAATTGCTGGCTCAGTCCATTTAAAACAACAAGGAGCTTGTTTTGTTGTTTAGTCCTTAAGTCATGTCTGACTCTTCGTGACCCCATGGACCAGAGCACACCAGGCCCTCCTGTCTTCCACTGCCTCCCAGAGTTTGCTCAGATTCATGTTGGTAGCTTCAATGACACTGTCCAACCATCTCATCCTCTGTCATCCTCTTCTCTCTTTCCCTCACACTTTCCCAACATCAGGGTCTTTTCCAGGGAGTCTTATTTTCTCAAGAGATGGCCAAAGTATTGGAGCTTCAGCTTCAGGATCTGTCCTTCCAGTGAGCACTCAGGGTTGATTTCTTTCAAAATGGATAGGTTTGTCAAAGAGACCAACATAAATTTGACCAAACTCCGGGAGGCAGTGGAACTTCACCCTCAGCCCAGCTTCCTAGGAAAAAGGGGTCCAGGGTCCTGGGACACGCTCTTTTAAAGCATAAAGTCCCACCCCCTAGGCCCCACCCCCAGGCCATGTGGTGAGGAGACGCGAAACTCCGATTTCAAATCTCCACTGCCTTGTGGCTATATCCACTCATGGAAAAGGCTTCAGGAGTTAAACCTCGAGGCAAAATCCGGAGCTGGAGTCCCGAAGGCAGCTCATGTCATTCTGCCAACTCCTGCGACGTTGCTGGAACCAGTTGTATTGGCTCTTGCCTTTCCATTGGACCATTTCAGCAATGTGGAGAGGGGGGATCTGCTGCTGTGGTAACAGCTTGTCCTCCATATTACTTTACCCAGGCTTCATGCTCTGGAGAGGACACTCCTCAATTCAGAGCATGTTACCATAGTCTCTTGAGACTGAAGGATGCCTATACTGATGGGTCCAGTGGCCATGATCTTAGTTTTTTTAATATTGAGCTTCAGACCATTTTTGGCACTCTCCTCTTCCACCCTCATTAAGAAGTTCTTTAAGTCCATCTTGGGTGTCCCTGCATGGCATAGTCCATAGCTTCTCTGACTTACTCAAGCCCTTTTGCCATGACAAGGCAGCAATCCATGAAGGGGTAAGTCTTTTGAAAAGTTTGCGTCTTTTAGTTGCCCATTCAAGTTCACACCACCTCCCAAAACTTACTGCAAAAGGGATAGCTTGAAACATTATACTGTTCCTGGGCAAATCCCTTTCTACCTCAACTACAGTAACTTTTGGAGGTAAAGTGAAAGCGGTGTTATATATCTTACTACAGTACTCAGAAAGTCCTGGGCTTTGATTCTTGAAACCTGCTTCCAGTATGTCAGTTCTCGCAAAATCTCTTATCACCAGCTATTATGAGGGGACTAACAGGCTAGAACACCTGAACAGAAGCCAGTCTGGCTTCCTTTTCGGGGAGGGAGTTCCAGAGTCTGGGAACAGCAACAGAGGAAGTTTTCTGCTAAGGGTCACTGACCTTACAAAAGACCCATTTCTCATTTGGTGATAAGAACTGACCTAGCTGCTTGCATTTCCGGACTGTCCTTGTGGAGCATGCATACTTATAGGTGTTGGGTTCAGGCAGTGAGCAGGCTGATGGGCTTTGTGGTGATCACCAGATAATGGATAATAGGATAGCAAAGAGTCTCTTAGCAACAGATTAAAGAAGTCAGCCACATACAGAGATGGATGTCTGCCAGCAGTACTCCTGGTGGGCGACTCAGCAAGGAAGCAGAATGAGAAGTCTTCTCCGTTCTCTCTCTCTCTCTGACGTTCTCCTTCTCTGCCCCCAGGAGACTGTCCTTTTATTAACATTACATGGTCACAGGTAGTGACAGCATTACAGATAGTAGACAGAGTTCAGATAGGACAATGATTACATCATGTTATTAGGGTTGGTCTGGGGAAAGGCAATTAATCAAGCCCTCTGATTGGCCTAAGGAAAGGCCTCTATGCCAAGCTCTCTATGATAATGAGAAAGAGGAGGAATGGTGGCAGCTCCTCCCTTCAGAAGCAGCCACAGGATGCTAGGAGAGTTTTCCCTCACTAGAACACCCATGCGGCTTAGCAGCCTTGGGAATGGCACCCCCACATATGGGGGCTACCATGATTCAAATTTACCAATATTCCACTAGCAACAAGAAAAGATGAGACTCTGCCTTGGATTTCTGTGTGGCAATGCAGAAATCCAACAGATGATGCTTTCTCCATCACCTCTTGTAACAGTCAACAGTTGGAAGGGCAACTAAAAGACACAAGCTTTACAAAAGACTAGCTCCTTGTTTTAAGACACAAGGAGCTACCCATGTGGGTAGATGGAAGAGTGCAGAAACAGAAGTTGCCAGTCTCTTGCCAGCTCACATCCTGCCAAACTAACACACAGAATATGGATACAGTTTCTAAATGAAAGCAAAAAAAGCTACAGTTTTAAAATTAGGCTGTAATCAAGTCCTGTGCATATTTACTTGAAAGAAGAACCTTCTTCATTTGATGCAACTTATTATAAAGTCTCATGTACCTCTGACAATATCACTGAAGCCCTGGAAAAAAGTTTTTTTGCACTTGGGCAATTAAAAGATGACCCATAATTCACCACTGCTTTCTTTCGAATTAGCACCATCAGATTTTGCCCTTGTATTCTGTTGCATGTGTGACATTGGTAGAAAGAAATGGAAAACAAGCCAAAACATCAAACAACTACTTTTGTTTTCCTGCTTTTCTTGAACCATTCAAAAACCATAATGAAAAAAAACAGCTACTGACATGAATATCTTGAGGCAGAATACAAATTAATTGATGAAATTGTTTTCCTTAAAGTAACCTGATAGCTAATTAATTTGTTCCTTCACCACCTCTAAGATGTAACTCCTAATAAAGTAGGACCCCTTCATCCATGGGACCAGTATCCAGTGATTCAATTATTCAGTCTGAAAACATGAAAAGAAAAATCCTAGAAATACAGATGAAGCTACCAGAACCGGCCACTAGAGAGAGCCAAAGACCACGCTACCTACAGCGGTCGCTTTTAAATTAGCATTTGTTTTTCACCATCCAGACCGGGGTTTGGAACTGATCCCCTACGGATACGGGGGTCATACTGTAACTGTTTACATATTTGCATACATTTAGGTTTCGTGCATATGTCTACAGAAGTGCACATTAGTATGTACAATTTTTGCGCAGATCTACGTCCTATGGACATAGTCTCTTGACTGTATTATCAATGATTTGAATATTCTAGTCCGAAAAACTGTATTAATGCAGACAAGGTGGAATTTGGCAACTCAGTTTCAAATAAATTAAATTTTTTAACGAGAAAGACCTCCCCACAGGAAGGAAGAAACCCAAAGAACAGCTAAGATTTCGAGCAAAAAAACACAAACCGCCTCTCTCCCCCGGAACTCCTTTCTACGCGCATCGATCTACGCGGGAGCAGGTGATAGGACGTCGGAGCGGAGCGGCCGTTCGCAAACAACGGAAGGCGGCCCCGCGCTTTTCCGGGAGCTTGTGGCGTAGTCGAGGCGGAGGGTGCTTCCGCCATTGGGGCAGGGCCTTCATGTACCGGCAGAATTACTGGCCCCCGACGCCGCCCTCGTACTCTGGCGGCGGGGGATTCCGCAGCCCACCCTCGGGCGGCGGC